TCTCACAACTAGATTCAAGAAAATTAGTCGGTGAAAGATGCACTGAAGGACACTTCCCTGTGCCCAAGAGGATTCCTGCTGCTAATGACACTGACATGATGCTGGCTCTGGGTCTCGGAGTCTCTTCCTGAACTGGGGTGTGTCCGGTCTTGTGATAATAACCTGGGCTTCTGCCAGGGAGGGGTGTGGTCCCGATGAGGCCACCCAGAAAGCACCTTGCCTTTTTTTTTTTTTTTTTTTTTTAGCTGGCTGGTACCAAACACCCTTGACCTTGGTGTTATCAGCACTATGCTCTAACCAACTGAACTAACCATCCAGTCCCCACCTTGCTTATATGGTCAGTTGGGGGTTTATTTATCAAAGCATATCACTCGTGACATTACGCCCTGATGGCTCCAGGACCTTTGGGGTGTGATTAAGCTGGGGCAGCAGGAGGAGGGGGAAAAGGACAGGAGGAAACAGTGCCTACAACCTTGCCCTTTGTCGCTCCTCCTCCATAGGCAGGGCGCCCCCTATGCCAGCCCTCAGACTGGCACTGGTCTGTGATTCAAAGGAACTCTCTAGAGAGAATCCTCACCTGCTCCGTGCTGGGATGCTAGCCTGCAAGCCACGTTTGCGTGTGAGCCACTCCCATCCTCCTGGCTCTCAGGAGGGGGCAGGAAGCCATGGAGCAGTGGCTCCTCTGTTTCTCTCATTTCCCTCAGAATATTACCAATTGAATAGAAAAGACTTAAAGGTGCTGTTTCTATTTTTAACCAACATCTCTCTGTGAAACTGGATTTTCATGATTTTTGAAGTCAAACCTTAGAACTGGAACATAGTGAACATTTGATCTACTTCCTGGTAGAGATAGAGCCACACATCAACCACCTTGAACTAACAAAACAATTCTGTACCATTAATGCTCATAAAACAAAATTATACGTTGTAATTTTCTGCAATAATAAATGTTTAAGTAGATTTTTTTTTTTTTTTTAAAGATGACCGGTAAGGGGATCTTAACCCTTGACTTGGTGTTGTCAGCACCACACTCAGCCAGTGAGCTAGTGGGCCATCCCTATATGGGATCCGAACCCGTGGCCTTGGTGTTATCAGCACTGCACTCTCCCGAGTGAGCCATGGGCTGGCCCAGATTTTTTTTTTTTAATATCACTATAAAATTGCCAACTGCCCTTCCTGGGAAAGAACTGCCTTTTATTCTGCAAACAAGTATTTTCTATATATTTGATTTTGAAATTTCCTCTTGTTTATGAAATGTTGCTGATAGTAATTAAAAACTTTTTTTATTTGGCAAAGTAAAATGCTTGCAACATCCTATCAGTCTTATATACTTTTACTTCTGCTCATGCCTGTCCTATGTACTTGGCCAAAGGGTACTGAGAATCTATGGTCTAGATTGTTGGAATTTTGATCCTTGAATCTGGGCACTGCCCAGAGTGGCATTCCATGATGGCATGTTTGGTGTCCTGGGCCACCCCTCCCGGGCAGAGAGCATATTTCCCCACTCCATTTGGTTCACATTTCCAAGGAGCATGAGCCCTGCAGAGCTTCCAGGCCCACCCCATGGCAGGAGTCTCGGGGCTTTGGCTGCTTTGCAAAGACCCAATATTGAAACATGGTCCACTGAAGGAAGCAGGGTGGAACATCCAGTATTTGCAAGAGCACATCCTGGGCACCACGAGAAACAGGAAACAGTAAACCACAATGTCCCTGACCTACTGGAATCTGTAACACCATTGTACAAGCAAAGTAATTACCCAAATATTCTAAAAATAAGAGGCAAGAAATTATAGACACCAATTGAGGCAGTGTTTATTACACACACGAAAGTATGATTCTTAAAAAGTTGGAAAATGAAGACATCGTTTCTGGCTAGAATGGTTAGGGAAGAAGAACATGATGGTAAAGAGAATACTCCAGAATCCTACTGCTGGCTTGGCCCCTCACTAGCTGTGAGACGGCTCCATGCGTAGGTTCCCTCATCTGTCAAAAGGGAATAGTAACTGTGCCCACCGCATCGTGTTAGGAAGAATAAAGGGCTGGGCATATAGTAAGCATTCGTGAAGTGCTAACCTCTGTCCTCATCCTGGCAGGGTGACATGTGAGAAGGAAAATGTAAGGCATGGCATCGTGTTAGGAAGAATAAAGGGCTGGGCATATAGTAAGCATTCGTCAAGTGCTAACCTCTGTCCTCATCCTGGCAGGGTGACATGTGAGAAGGAAAATGTAAGGCATGTTTAGAAAATGGCAAGTTGTCCCTTCTGGCTGGAAGAAAAAAATCGGGTTAATCCAAGGGCGTAACAGGAGAGGAGTTTGGAAATATAGGGGAAAGGCTTTAAATATGAGGATACTTCAAAAGGTTCATGGAAATATTTGTGTTATCTTTTAACTCTATTTTTCCATGAACTTTCTGAAGTACCCTCATCTAGGGAAATCATGGATAAGCTGATTTGCTGAGGATAACACTTTTGGGAATGTTGTATTAGAGGTGACAGCAGGGCTTTCAGGTTAGACTTATGATGTGGGAAGTTGGAAACATTCTCCAGCGGCAAGGAGCGAGGCCAGTGTCGGAGAGAGGGACATTCGAGAGTCTTCTGAGCTGATGCTTCTGGCACATTGGGGATCCTCAGACGTGTGTGTCAATGAGTGAGGGGTGAAAGCAGTGGATGTCAATGAGATCCTTTTGGGAGGGAAGAATTGAGGGAAGAGGACAGGGCCGTAGTGGTACTTCAGTGAGACCACCAGCCCCTCAGGAGGGTGCTGATCTGCAGCCGGGGCTTCCTGTCGCTGGAAACCACATCATGATCTCACTCCTCAAGCTCTCCCTAGTTTCACTGCCTACTGCTCACCCTTCACCACTATGCTGGGCGTGCCAGTCTTCATCACATGTCTTTTGTGGCCCTCCAGTGAACAGGTCTGCGGGTCTAGATCTCCCGCTGCACCACACACACCAACAACAGTAGCCCATAAAAAAAAGCTTCGGGTGGCCACAGGCTAAGTGAATGAGCTGCGTAAGGTGGTGGCCAAAAGGGCTGATGGTTGCTCAGTCCCCATGATCAGAAACATGATGTTCCATGTGAGGGAGGGACGAGCCCTGATGGCTTCTGCACTGGTCCCATCACACCTGCCTTGGAAGAGGAACATGGACCAACTGGCATGCTTAGAGACCATGTGTCCCAAGAGGGTCCTGGAGAAAAACAGACGGCAGGAGTGGGAGTATTGCCTGATCTTAAATATTTATAGGCCTGTCAGGTGAGAGGGAAGGGGCCCATGCAGCCCTAGAGGGGAAGAAGCAGGAGTAATGTTGAGAAACCTGAAGACAGCCAGCTGAGCATAAGGGAGACCTTCCCAAGCCCTGGGAACCCAAGTTGGATAGATGAGTGCTTCATGGCCAGTGCTGAGAGGCTTCCAGTGGATGTGCCCAAAGCAGATTTATGTCTGCCACTCCAGGATGTCTGAAAAGTATAGCACAGACAAAAACACTAAATGATAATATGCACGATAACCCTTTCCCTGCTAAGATGATCCTTTCGTTTTGTTGAGAGTGGCAGATGGGGCTGCAGTGAGTGGGGTTGGGAGTGCAGAGAGGGGTAGCTCACTCTAGTTAAGGTAGGACGTGGGGTGACCAGGAGAAAATAACTATCCAGAAGGGAGGAGGGTCAATAGTTCAGTGACTAGGGGCAATCTGGGGTATGTTGAGGCTAAAACAGTATTGGAAGGAATAAGATTATTATTGAACTACTGACATGGGAAGAGGGGAGATTTATACTGGACATTTAGGGACTGTCTGTGTGTGATGTGCTGTTAAATCTACTCTTTGTCCTCCCAAGAGCATGGGATGCTTTTGTTCAAAAAATTCAGGTATTAGCTTGATGACACAGACTAAATAACACTGAGATATACATACCATGACAGGACCACAAAAGCCCACTTTTATTTGGGTTACATATGGGTCTTCGAAAAAATGCCAACATAGTCACTGTCACCATCAGGCTCTCTTGGGTTTATCTGGAAACAAAAATGTAAGAATTTTTTTGGAGTTATCTTCTCAGAAGAAAAAAATTTTTTTTAATCTAAGGATTGTGACAGTAGAAACCCCAACTGGCTGCTCACACAGTCTCCTCAGCCTCTTGCCAATACTCATCCTCCGAGGGCCCCTCCATCGCCCAGCACTGTGGTTTCCTTTAGTCACAGGGACTCAGTGGGAAGCACTGGTGGCAAGCACTCTCCTTGCCCTACCTTCAGGGAAGCATGGGTTTGACTTACGTGCCAGCCTGCTCTCGCTGGCCTCACCCCATGTGACGTCAGAGCTAGCTGGCGCTGTGTGATTCTCCCAGCACATTCCATTTCCTTCTGACTTTACCTCTTTGCTAGTTCAGTTTAACCTTGAGCCCACTGGGCAATCCTCTGCCAACTCTGCCCCACATGTGGCTGCTGACCGACACAGGGGGGTTGCTGGAGGGACAGTCTCTCTCGCTCCCTGCTACCTTTCTTTCTTGCGGGCACGTGGACCTGGGAACCCCAGCCTGTGACTCATGGGTTCTATTGAATACAAGGAAGGGTGGCAGGGAGGGAGAGAGGGAGGCAGGCTAGTCATCAGGCACGGCACTGTGAGCCCCACCAGATGTCCTTCATGCCACCCTGACTCCCTTCGCCTGACACCTTCCAGGGACCTGGAGGACGACTGGAAGGGACCTCTTTTGCAAGAGAATTCTCACTAACCGCTCTCATTTCCCTATAGCTTCCTTCCTCTCCCAGATCTTTCTGCCTCTTTTGTTTTTGCAGGAATTTTTTTTAAGGGAGAAAAAAGTACAGAGAATAATAACACCCACACCAGCAACTCTCTGTTTTCAAAAGTGCTGTGTCCTTGATCGTCACCCACCCTGCCCTACCCAGGGGTTCTCGCCACTCCTGGCTGCCTCATCTTGGGGCAGCTCAGGGCTTCATTCACTTCCTTACCTGCTGTAAGTAATCCCCTCATGTCTTCTCTTTCCAGGATTCCATGGAGAATGGGGCTGTAGCCTCTGCAGAAACTCTGAAGACAGACCCTGCTATCGAACCAAGGTTCAAAGTGGTGGATTGGGACAAGGTATCTGGCACAGGATGGAGTGGGGTCATGATTGGGGGCCGCTGGGGATGAGGAGCCAAAAGCTGCGGCATGTGTGACATGTGCCCAGGGAAGATGAGGATGGGAAAGCAGGTGCTCACAAGCATGACTTTGGGGCAGCAAACCCAGGCAGAGATTGTGGGGGAGCTGGGAAAAATGGCACATGAGGTCTCTGCACAGAGCCAGGCCCCAAACACCCCTGTAGAACGACTCTCCCACCAGGACCCCTGAAGGTGAGAAAGGACAGTGACAGAGTCAGCAGGCCCAGATATGCCCAGTTTGACCAATGTACAAGGCAGGGCTGTCCCAGGCACCTGCAGTCACTCAGAGTCACTGGCTGATACAGGAAGGGCACAGGAGCCTGCTGAGGCCAGGCAGGAGACAGGGCAGGAGCATCCTCAATGTTTGGGAGAAGCTGAAGGTGTCTGCAGAGCCTTACAGCAAACCTCTTTTGGTGTTTAGAGGACAGTGCCTTGCTATGGTTAAGCAGATCCCTACACAAAGCACTAGGACATGAACACAATTCAGCAACTTTGTGCCACTTTATAACAAGGATCACCAAAAAAAAAAAAAAAAGGCAGGTCCTATTTGTTGGTGAGGTGAGCCCTGGAGGAGCTGAGCAATCACAGGTGGAAATGGAGTGACTCAGTGAGGAGGGGGAGAGGTGGTGGTGCCTGGGAACCAGGAGGCTCTGGTGCTATTTCCCTCCAGCTTGGGTCATGAGACTGTCCCAAAGTCACGTTTCCATTTCTTGTTGGAATAGACACAAGTATGCATGTCCATAAGTGCTCACCTTATGTGCCCTCTGCCTACACTGGGCACTGGAGACACAGAAACAAACAGAACATACCCCTACCCCCCGAGAGTTCACAACCTGATAGAGAGGACAGTAGCCCCTCTCCCCACTCCCATAAACAGTTATTACAACATGAGGAGATGTGGGAAGCATGCCCAAGGAACACAGGAGACCAGAGGAGATGGGGCAGGGGGACTCCACAAACCCGTTTGCTGGATCCCTTTGGCTGGGACTCCTGAGGCCGCAAGAACTCAGAGATTGCACCTGTCACATGAAATTGCCACTGCCTTGGGAAGAACCCATCGGCCCATTGCAAAGACACCTTTGGGTATCCAACTAGAGGGGCCTGAAGAAGTTGTTCCGTGCCCCATCCCCTTCAAAGAGGCACATAACCAGAAGGAAAATAGAAGGCCAATGAGAGGAAAGCCTCGTCCTGCTGCACCGTGGGCCTCCCAACCAACTCGCTGGACCCTGGTTTCCTGGCCTCAACCTCTAGCTTGTCCACAATGCTCATGGCCAGTGTGGGGCATGGATGATGCCCAGGCCAGGGACCGAGATTTGGGGGGTCTTGGTAAAATGACAGACCTCTCTGGAAGTCTTGGGGGACTTGGGCTTGCTCTTCATTTAGGCAAGATGGAGGGGGAGCCACTAGCCTGGTGGAGTCAGGACTCTGCCCTGGAACAGGAAGAGCTTCAGAGGGAAATGAGGAGGGTCTGGGGAATGGGGACGGGACCAGAGAGGGAGCTTTAGCACGTGCTGAAAGGAGCAGCAGAGAAGAGTCCGGGAGCTGGCATCTGTGGGCTTGGCTTAGGGCTTGAATGTTGGAAAGGAAATGCTCTACAGAGACCTGACCAGGGCAGGATAAATGTGGCAGCCATCGGGACAGAGGGCTAGGGACTGAGGCTGAGATCCCATGTGGCCAGCCCTGCTCCAGGGGAGATTCCTCTACCTCTCCCTGAGCTGTGGTTCAGGGCTGACCCAGCCCATCACTGCAGGAGGCAAGGGGAGGATCGAGTGCACCCAGGTCTGGGGCTGTTCCACCATCACTGGCTGCACCCCAGGGGAGGAGGGGCGCTTCCTCCCCAGGGCTGGCCAGCACCTCCAGGTAGCCTGACTCACCTTCTCTGCCTCTTTCATTCTCTCTTTCACGCACTTTCTCTTTTCCTCCGCCTTCCTCCACTACCCCTGGGCTGAGAGGGAGGGGCAGGAGATGGCCCAGGAGAGGGTGTGGAGACTCCACTGGGGTCTGCTTGGATGCCTCCCCCAGCACCCTGAGAAAAGCCAGCATGGGGAGCTCTGCTTCCCAGGAAGAGTGAACAGTGCTTTCCTTTTTTCTTTTTTACTTTCAAAACGCTTGGCCAATCCCCAGCCTCTTTGGAGGGAACAGAGGCTGGGAGAGCCAGCGGCCCTGCATCTGTTTCCGGTCCAGGCCAGAGAACTTGGGCAGGTCCATGGGGTCTGGGCCTTGAGGAGCTGTAGAGAGATGCCAAGAAGGCAAAGCTTTGTCTGCACTCAGGGTCCCCAGGTGTGGGGAGGATTTGCACACCCACTCCTGGGGCAAAGGGACTTGCCAAAGTTAACCCTGTGTGCTTTGCATTCTGGGTGCTGCTGAGGAAGGGGGTCTTGGGCTCCCAGGGTGCCTCCCCAGCCCAAGAAGCTGGGGGACAGAATGGGCCATGATGGAAAGAGGAGGGGAGACTGGCATGGAGGTGCTGGGGGTAGAAGGATAGAAGGGTAGAAGGATCTGAAAAGACAGCAGAAAAGGCTAAGAAGCAAACCCTGGAACCCTGCCCTGCTTAGGGGTGAGGAATGGTCTGACCTTTGGGCTCTGCATGGAATTTTACCAGAACAATTCCTAAATTGTCCTTTCCATCACCCAGTGAGATGGGACGCACGCTTCCTTGTGGGACAAGAACCCAGGTTGTAGCTGCTCACTCTGAACATTTCTCCCCATTTTCCAGATCCCAGCCAGCCTGGGGCTTGCTCTGGCCAAGTGGCCACAGCTGCCCACTGCTCATGGCTTCTGGGCATACCTGCCCCATTTGTCTTACTGCCTCTTTGTGCCTCTTGACTGTGTCCTTTTCAGAGCCCTCCCTTGGGAGCCCTCTCCACCCTTCCCATTTTGGAGACTAGCCTCTGGGAACCAGATGGAACCAGTGTGATCTGAGGGGTTTGCAGAAGTTCCCTGCCCAGATCTCCCTGGGCAGCGAATTTAGCCTCAAATTCACACTTCTAGTGAGCTCTTGTCATTTGCCCAGCACTTTACATGGATTGCCTATTATCTGATTTAGTCCTGCTATCAACACAAGGAGATAAGGATTAAAATTATCCTGATTTAACTGATAAGGAAGAGTTTAAGTCTCCCGCCCGAAAGTCACTTGTGGGCAGGTTAGTGGCCAGCTGGCAGGTACTTCGAGGCCCCCTCCCATCTGCTGCTCCCCATCATGTGTCCTGGAACCCTTCCACCCTGACAGCTGGCCAAGAATAAGACCCTGGCTAGGAGAGGGGGCGACAGAGGGGAGGGAGGAGGCTGAGCAGGTCTCAGAAGTGTCTTCAAAGCCTGGCCACAGCCTCCTCCCTATCCTGCCTCAGGCTAAGCCCGATTCCAGCATAACCAGCTTCTTTCCAGCTCCCAGGCCTTCCGTGGGTGTAGGCTCTTCCCTCAAGAGACAGGTAGAATCAGCCAGCAAGTGTGTCACAAAACAAAATGCAGTAGTCATCTACCCAAACTCCCTGTCTCTGCACTTGACACATGCACACATAACCCTTGACATCAGAGTCCCCAGGGCCTGGCAGAGGTGTTGGTGTTGGACATACGGATCTTAGCCTTTCAGGTAAATTCAGGAAACACCTGGATCAGAACAAGCCCCCGGGCTGGTCGGTTAGCCCAGCTGGTTAGAGCATAGCCTGGTAATACCAAGGTCAAGGGTTCAGATCCCCATGCCGACCAGCTGCCAAAAAAAAAAAGAACAAGGGTCCTCTTAGCCAACCCAAGAGGAAGAGGACGAACCTCCACGCTGTGGGTGCTGGCCTGGCTCACCTCAGGCACTCTGCCTCCCTGGTCGCCTTGGACCCCTTTGCCCTTTCTTTCTCCTGGCAACCCTTCCCCCCCAGAGCAGGTGTCTGTAGGATCCAGCTGCCTGGAGGGAGCCCCATCGTCCTCCCCAAGGCTGTGCTCATCGGGTATGTTTCCTTGCCCAGAGTTCCTGGCCCCTCTTCAGAAGAGCTTGACAGTGCTCCCAAAGTACCGCAGGGCAGAAACCAGGCAGGTAGGCCAGGCACTGTCCTCTGCATCCCCGGGAGGCCAGTGGATGGGGCAGGCTGGGAGGCAAGAGGTGGCGCGGGGTGACCATCTACACTCCAGGTCTGTTTCTGCATCAGTAAGACGGAGATTATTGCTGCCCAGAATCATGGGCTTTGTTGGGAGGATCTAGTGGAGCATACAAAGGGGTATCAGAAAGTGGGATGCGGGCCGGCCCGTGGCTCACTCGGGAGAGTGCGGTGCTGATAACACCAAGACCGCGGGTTCAGATCCCATATAGGGATGGCCGATTAGCTCACTGGGTGAGCGTGGTGCTGACAACACCAAGTCAAGGGTTAAGATCCCCTTACCGGTCATCTTTAAAAAAAGAAAAAGAAAAAGAAAGTGGGATGCAAGTGAAAGGCCACCCTACCTGGCTTTGGATGGGAACACGGGCTGGCCTGGGGGCTGAAGTCACGTGGGCTTTCTGCACAGTGCTCGGGCCGTCTTTCCTCTTTCCCTGTGTCTCTGGCCCCCTCACCCCCTGCTCCCTGTCTACTCTCATCTCCCTGAACCCTCCCAGGGGTGAGCCTGAAGCCACCTCCCAGCCACCATGTCACCTGGGTGAGGGGAGGGTCACAGGGCTCGGGGTAGGAGGCAGGTGGTCCAGAGCCACCGCTGTGGACTTGAGCTTGTCCCAGTTAGACTGCGCAGGACAGAGTCCAAGAGCCCTGCTCGCCGCCCCACGGAGCACATGCCAGGCACTGCGTGAGGATTCCTCGTGGCCTCTGTGCTGAGGAATTCACAGCGTGGAGTCCTGCCTCAGCTGACAGGAGGCCTCCTGGCCGGGTGGCGAGGACTTGGGCTCAGGCTCTGCTGCAGCACCTATGGCTGAGCATTGACTCTTAGTCTTCCCATCTGTAAAGTGAGGTGGTCACAGTCCCCATCTTTCAACATTAATGGACATGAGGCCTATGCCTAGGCTGGCCAGTGACAAGGGCACAGAAAACGGAGCCAGGATTCTCGCTGAGCTTCTTGTCCCCACTCCCCTCCCCACAGGCCCCTGCTTCTTGGAAGCCCATCCTCCTCCTCTCTGGCTCAGAATGCTGCCCTGGAGCTATGTGCTCTGGGTGGGCATTTGGACATTTCTTTAAACAATTGGTGGTGGGTGGAGCTGCTGGCACCAAGCAGCTGCCCCCGGTCCCCACATTTGCCCTGTTGAGGAGAAGCAGATTTGGAGTACACTGCTCCAGGGCTGGGCCTGCCCCAGGAAAGTGGCCTGTAACACCCGGTCCCTGCGCTGCCCAGGAGGAGGGGGACTGGGAAGCAGATGGGGAGAGCAGAGGAGGCCCCCTCCCCACCCTGGCAGCATGCCCTTCTGCCCACCGTCTGGGCAGCAGGCTGTCCTTTCCCCCTCCCGGATACTGCTGCAAACTGCATTCCTGGCATAGCCCGGGGGAGGCCCTCCCCCTTCTCACGGGGGCTGGGGCAGAGCTGCGTGGGGAGGAGCACCAGAGCTTCAGCCAAACTCACCCCAACCTGCATCGGCTTCCTGGGACCCAGCCTATTGCGCAGGTTTTTTAATCACCAAAAGACCTGCACCCCAACCCCCAACAAGCTGCCTCTCTAGAGCAGTTTCTGAGCATATTCTCATGGTCATCCACGCACCCCGGCTTTAGCTGGGTGGCTTGAGTGCTGGATATGCTCTCTTTGAGCATCACTTTCCACAGTTACAAAATGAGGCTTTGCTATTGTGAGGGTAGCCATGGGAGCCCCCGATGCCTAGGCACTGTAGGCGTGATCAGTGGCCTGTTCCCCCTCCTTTTCCCCATCCAACCTCCCACAGAGGCCACAGACTCTGCCAATGCCTACCCTGTGTCCCCCAATCCTTAGGAAGTAAGGGATGGGAGGGGCCAGGGACAGAATCAGCTGGGAGGAAGAGAGCCATTTGTGTGGGAAGGCCCAGAGGCCAAGGGGACCTTGGTCAGGTAGAGTAGGAGGTGAAGGTCACCTGGAGTCCTTCCCATCTTACTGGGTCCCGAGCAGTCATCCCCTGCTATCCTCCTTTCTCAAAACCAGTTCCCAGCCAGCTGCCATGTTGGAATTGACCAGCAAGGGAGAGTCATTGAAGCAATCAGCACCCAGCTGAGACTTTCTCCTTTAGTGATTAGGACTGGAAGAGAACCTAGAAAGGACACTCTGTCAGTGGGTAGACCATCTAAATCAAAGTCAGAGCATACAGGGTAAATGTCCCAGTTCTTGGGAAATTGTGTGGAGGCTGCTATAAGCTGAGGGAAGGGAGAAAGGAGGTTCCCACTCCAGGACCAAACAACCCCATCTCAAGAGTATTCTCATCCATAAAATGGGGTCGAGGTCAGCAGCCTGGATTTCTGTACTTACGTGGAAGGCTCACTTTACTTCCCCTGGAAGAGCGGGACTAAGGCTCCAGTGGTAAAATTATAGGTGTTAGCCTTTGATGACTGAGGAGAATGTTGGCAGGGGAGAGAGTGAGGCCCTCTTGGGGTTCCTCCAGGGTAGTCCTTCAGCCCCAGAGCAAAGTGGCCCTCCCTGAGCTGCCATACAGAGGTGCAGTGTGAGCTAGACACAGAGCTGGGGTGCAAGGCCCTCCAATGCCACAGGCGGACAGAGGCAGCCTTGGAACTGACTCTAGATGCCAGCCTGCCATTTGTCCAGGTGGCCAGGGCTTTCTGGTCTACCCAGGGAGTAGCCAAAATTATATCCAGATGTCAGATGGGCAACAGGATGTCAAATGACAGACCCCTGTGTTAGTGGGCTCCGTTCCTGCCATACTTGCAAACACCTCTTTGGCAACCTAACTCCAGCTTTCCATACCTGCTCTGTCCTTCTGTCTCCTTCACAATTGGGTGTGAGATTCAGGCTGGAGTCCCTGCTTGCCACTCACATAAACATTTCTTCTTGTGTCTCAGTGGAATTAAACTTATAAATTCTATGCTGTTTTCTGCTTGCTTTGCCAAATAAGGGCAAAATGGATCAATAGGTAAAAATTTGCCCAAACCACTGCTAGGCTGAGAAAGAAACCTGCTTGGCCACAACCCTGTGCTACAGCTAGAAATGTTCATTGTCTAAGGTAGCTAAGTCTGAATTAAGTGTACAAATGAAACACAGGCATGGGGGTGACATGTGTAACATGCAAAAGTGGAACCTATAAAAACCTGGGGTCTCATTCGAGGTAGATGGTGATAAATTAAGGAAGCATATTGTCATCTTTAGAGCAACAACTGGGGGAAAAATACAAAAACGCATTGCCAAAAAAACAATAGAGAAGATTATATAGAATATTTTTAAATGCTTAATGCAAAGAAGACAAGAAAGGAAGAACAGAGGAGGCAAATAGAAAACAGCAAGAGAGGGCTGGCTGGTAAGGTCACTTGGTTAGAGTGTGCTGCTGATAACACCAAGATCAGGCCTTCAGATCCCCCTACTGGCCAGTCACCAAAAGAGAGAGAGAGAGAGAGAAAACAGCAAGAGGATAGACTTACTCTAACATTAAATGTAAATAGACTAAACACTCCAATTAAAAGGCAGAGATTATCTGACTAGATAAAAAGTAAAACCTAACTATATGCTGTCTGCAAGAGATGCACTTTAAATGTAAAGACATATACAGGTTGAAAGTAAGAGTGGAAAAAGACTGTGCAAACATCAAGTTTTGGGAAGCTGGTGTGGTTCTATTAATATCAAAGTGGACTTCAGGAAAAGGAGTATTACCAGGGACCAAAATGGCTATTTCCCAATGGTAAAGAGGCCACCTCACCAAGAAGACATACTTGGGCAGCCTTGGGGAAGTTCCTCAGCCTCAGTTTCCCCACCTGCAAAATGACAATAATTATAGTACCTGCCTAGTATGGTGAGGGTCAAGTGATTTAATACATGTAATGTGTTAGAACAATGCTTGGCACACAACAAATGCTCTGTGTTAGCTCTTAGTGTTACTGCAGTTGGGACAAAGCCTCAAGCTCTCACCATGACCCTGGCCCAGCTTTTTCTGAGGTGAGGCTCTGCAGGCTGCTGCAAGATAAGGTGTAAACACAAGCTGCTAGCTGGTTTCTCCAGTTCTTTTTCCTGGTGATGGTGGTGCAGGGACGTGTGTGTGTGCATGTGCACGTGTGTGCATGTGTATGTTTAGAGACCTAGGGCAGACAAATGGAAGGAATGAGACAGCACACATCTAATGAATCCATTTGCTGCTAGACCCAAGGAATGAGGTCAAGGAGACTGGGGTCGGAAGGCACCAGCAACTAGGCAGGTTTATGATTGCCTATTTAACTGGTGCCAGGGTGGGATGGCTCTGGGCAGATCTGGGTCGTCTTCCAGCCTGAGAAGCAGGAAGTGACCTCTGCTGCTGCAGGAAGGCAGCCAGCACCTGGGACCTGCCAAATTCACATGGCAGGAGCCACAGCCTTCTTTGGGCCTTTTCCCCTGGTTACAAGCACAGAGCGAATGTTCAGTGACCTTGCCTGCTTGCTCCAGTCCCCCTACACCCCTGCTCCAAGGCTGATGGTGAGACTAGCTTTACCTCCAGAGGGACTGGGAGCATGTGAAGATTGGTTCCTGGGAGGCCTGCTGGGGCTGAGCCAGCTTTGATGAGGAGGCCTGGGCAGGGATGAGATTCCAGCCAGTGCCACAGGAAAGCAGACTTTCGGAATCCCTGTTGGCTCTTTCTCCCAGGCTTTTGTGTGTTCTTCTTCCACTTACAGCTCCTGCTCCTCTTCTTTCCTGCCTGTCACTGCTACCCTGCCTGCCTGCAATGGCCACCTGTCTCCCCTGTACTGGAGAATAATTAAGCCCCCACTGTATGCCACACTCCATGCTCACTCTGATTGTGGGTGCTGGGGTGGGGCCCACCAGCTTCACAGATGAGAGAAATGGGGGCCCCCACAAGGTAAGGACACCTGCTCAGGATCTCACAGCTGACTGATGGCAGAGGCAAACTTTGAAGGTGGTCTGCTGACTCCAAGTTCATTGTTCTTTACTGTTTTGGGTCCAGATTAATCTTCTTCAATACACAGACTCATCAGAAATCTTCACGGGCTTCCCATTGCCTCAAGCTGTGGCCTCTAAACTTTTTTGATCTTGCATCCCTATGAGTAAAACTTTTTGAGCACATTCTCAATTATATGTCCATTTGAATGATCTATAAATTATTTGCATGTGCTGATGTAGTCTTTTATTCTGTGCATTAGAACACATACATTCAAATGTGGTTTAGAGATGAGATAAATATACCACAAATAGAAAGAGGGGCTCTAATTTCTCCCTGCCTCAGGGGATCAGCCTGTGAGTACCTCTGGGGTACACATAGTCCCTGCCTTGGACACGACTGGCCTGGAGGATGAAGCATCATTCCTGGGCCTGATACAGGGTGTTCTGTTTTCTAAAGTCCTCAGTGGATTTCCTCCTGCTGTCCACAGAGCAGTGTCAGGGAACCAAATAGGCCACAGTCGTTCTCAACTCCACATCTATGCCCATGATCTCCCTCCTCTCTTCCCCTCTCCCCCTTGCCAAATCCTTCATGTTGTGTGAGCTCCAACCCAACCCCAGATCCTCTGCAAAGCCCTCCTTACCTAACCTGGACCCGGGTATTCATACCAAACATTCTGCCTCTGGATCTCAGCCTGCCTTGTATCACCACTAAACCAGCTTGCTTAGCATGCCTCATCTTGCTGAACACTTACTGCAGGTACCATTATCACCACTTTCATTTTATAGCTGGAGAAACAGAGGCTCAGAGAAGTCATGTAATTTTCCCAAGGTCACATAGTGAGTGGTAGAACCAGGATTTGTACCCAGGCCTAACCCCAGATTCTGAACTCTGATTAAGCACTAAGCTATACAAAGCAAAGATGATCTCCCACATTCCCATTGATTCTTCCTAGCACCTGGCATAGAAATAAAATAAATACACACATACATATATGTATTATGTACACACACATATACATATATATATAATGTTGAGCAGATTGTTGAATAAATGATTGTTTGAATGGATGAGTGAATGAATTATCCAGGGCAACACCAAGAAGAAAGTCTGTGGTGGAAGGGAAAGGGTCTACTTCATTCTTGATACAGAATGTACTGTCTCCTGTACCTGAAGAGTCCTGATTAAGACTTTAGGCATGGCTGAATCTGGGTGTTCACATATCATCACCAGAAATCTCTCTCCCTAGCTCTCAGCTTGAGCTAGCTGAATCCTCAGGAAGGCTCTACCTACAACTCCAGGCTCACCCTGACAACTTAATAACTGCAGCAGGAAGAGAAGGTGCCTGATGGTTCATTGCACTGGCTTAGGTCACGGGCCTGTTGTGGATCCTATGGCTGAGGCCAGGGGGCTGTGATGAGCAGCTTGGTCAGTTCCAGGTCACTGAAGCAGGAGGGTGGGTAGCCCCACACAGACCACAGGAGGGGGTGAGTGGGAATGGGACACTGTAACCAGGAGATGGGAGAATGAATGTAGGAGGGCATGAATATCAAGTGCTGACTTTGTCTCTTGCAGGACCTGGTGGACTGGAAGAAGCCTCTCCTGTGGCAGGTGGGCCACTTGGGAGAGAAGTACGATGAATGGGTCCACCAGCCAGTCACCAGGCCCATCCGCCTCTTCCACTCAGACCTCATCGAGGCTCTCTCCAAGACTGTCTGGTGAGCCCTGCTCCAAGCCTGTGGTGGGTTGTCCCTCTCTCCTGATGATGCCAATCAGATACGGAAGGGAAAGGAACAACTGCATCCCTCCCCAGAGCCCAGGCCTGTGCTGTAAGCTCTTGGGGAGGGTGGAACATGCCATAAGCATAATCCATTCCTATGCACGATTTTGTCTACCAAATGAGGGACAACCTGACATGTAGCCAGAAACCACTTTGAATGTCACCCCTGCTCTATTCCATACTCCTATGAGGGGTTGCCAGCCTCTAAAGCCCATGGGAGTGATTTTGCCTGCAATTAACTCCTCTGCCACAAGAGATCAGCACCTATCCAGCGGCACAGAGTCAGTAGCCATGGGGACACAGTTCTTTTCTGCCAATAACATCTCAGAGACAGGGGCAGATGGACTCACACCCTCTCTCCTCTTTCCTCTTCCCCTGCCCCCTACACCAGTGTCCCTTTGGCCTCAGGTCTCCATATACTTTCTGCATGTGCTTTGGTGTTATCTTGTCCCCTCTAATCGAGATGTGTGTCTCTAGAGAAGCTGGACCCTGTCGAGCCCCTGTGTGTGTATCTCTCACATCCTGATGGTCCTCCTGCAGGTACAGTGTCCCCATCATCTGGGTGCCCCTGATGCTGTATCTCAGCTGGTCCTACTACCGAATCCTCGCCCAGGGCAATGTTCGACTCTTCACGTCATTCACAACAGGTAACACCAGGTTCCTTCCTGACTTGCTCCCATGGATTCTGGAGGCAGGAGACCTCTCCCCAGTCCTGAGTTTCTGAGAACACAGGACCCAAAACCACATCACAGACATTTTTAAGTGAAGCCCATTTGTAGAAATAGTCTTCCAAAGAAAAATTTTGTCAGACTCCTCCCACCCCGCAAATGGATACAAGAACCAGCAACACATCAGCAGAAACTAAATGAAATAATTTCATCAGGTGGCACATCAATAAAGAGGTGGAGGGCTTCTTGCTGAATCTAATTCCAGAAAATGTATGACCTGGGATTCTTTATCAAGAAACTAAATGAAATCAATTCATCAGATGGTATGGCCGAGAGCTGGACTTGGACTGGTCCATGAATAGCACAGGTTAGCAGAGAAAGATCTGGGAGTGTCCTAGTGTGTCTCCAAGGCAACGTACTACGCAGCAGAACACCAGACTGGGAATAACAACCCACTCACCTCTACTGAGCACTTATCATGTGCCAGGACATATGCTAGGCCACATGCTTTCCAGGGACTGTCTCATTTAACCATCCAGGCAAAATGGTTACCATGAGAAAGGTACTATTATTATCTCCTTGTAGAGTTGAGGAAATGGAGCCTCAAAGATGTCAAGCAAGTGATTCATGGTCACGTGGTAAGCATGTGGATACCAGATGCCACCCAGCTTCTAGTAGTGGGGCAGGGGACAGTGGGGCACCTCACTGTCTACCTTGGGCCTCCAGGTGCATGCCACCTGCCCAAGTGGTCTGTCCCGGCACAGCTTGCCTCAGGGAGTGCCAGAGTAATGTGACTCTTAGGGAGCTTCCCTCTCCTGATCACACCCCACTTTCCTGACTCCTGGCCTTCTGAGCCCCACTCGCTCTCCCAGGCGCGTCTTCTCTTTCCCACCCTCCCAGACTTCTCTCCTGCCCACTGCTCCTGGGAGCAGCCAGTCAAGGGCCTGAATGGCTTAGATGAGAGAGGCCATAGCCACCACAGCATTGGGAGCTTCCGTTTATCTACCTCACCCAGGAAGGGGCAGGGGACGAGCATGCTGCAGAAAGCACCCCCTCAACCCAGCCCAGAACTGTGCCTGATCACTGAGGGTCACCACGTGTGCCTCACGAGCCAAGGTTACCCTTTTCTGCCCACGCTGAATAGCTCAGGCACAGCACAGGGCTTGTTGCTCAGAAGGCCTGCTCTCTGAATCGCCCACTGTCCGCCCAGAGCTCCCCTAACAATCACCAGCAGTGGCAGGGCTGCCAGCACTGGTGGCTGGAGGGGGAAGGGGATGCTGAAGCTTTGGCCCAGGTCCCTCTGCTGGATTCCTCCAGAGATGCCACTCAGTGCCAGCTCCAGCTGGATAGACAGACAAGGGTGATGCTGGGGTGAGGAGGCGGGCAGAGGCTTGACCTATAGGAGGGGACTTTTCTGCACAGCAGGGAGGGTGATTTGAGGGTTCCATCCGCACCACAGGCCTCTGCAGACAGCTAAAATGTGCCTGTCTAATAAAGGCCCAGTGTAGAGAGTTAGTAAACCTGTGACTGTGATGCCAATTATGGTGGCATGAGAGATACGTCCCCACATGCCTCCCTCATCCCACAGCTTGTCTTGCAAGGCACAAGCCACAGATAGAGAACATAAGCACCCACAAGGCAAGGCAAGGGGAGACTCGGCAGGGTCCCAGTGCAGCTGCTGGACAAAGCATGGGCTGGAATAATGCAGGAGAGTCAGGGTGCCAGGGGGCAGTGGGAGCTGGATGGAGACACCAGTTCCCAGCTGAAATTCCCAGATGCACATGTGAAAATGCTATGAAAAGCCAGTGGTGTTCTGCAAATTCAGGAGGGCCCCAGAGCAGTTCCTGGGAGTCTGTCTGAGTGCCAAGTGGCATCCTAGAGGAGGATGCCAGCCTCTAATGGGATGGTGTTGTGGGAGCCCCAGCTAAGGTCAAGACCAAAGTCTGTGGCCAGGGAATGCTCCTTTATGTCCAGTCCTTTCCCTGCCGACAGAGGAGCTGGGCAGCAAGGAAAGGCACTGCGGCTCTGAGTTGGGGGAGAGGCAGGACGCTGCAAAACTCTTCCACCCTCAACCAGGGACCCTCTAGAGCTCTGCAAGGAGAATCAAGAGGAGGACTGCTGTTGGAACATAGATGTATTTTGACTCATTATGTTTAGAAATTATAGTAGCTATTTGTTAAATATCAGGAGTATTATATTATTAGAATAAGTACTCATATAACACAATAAAACATTGAACTTTCAGAAAGAGAGAACAGACCGATAGTTACTACAGGTGGAAGATGGGGAGGGAGAGAGAGGGTTAGGGAATAGTTGGGTAAGGGACACAAAAAGTAATTATGATTTGCAATGATAAACATGCTAATAACTCTGATTTGATTATTACATACTGCACACAAACACTGATAGTCAACTGTACACCATAAATATGTATATCAAAAATAAAGAAATATACATATATAACATTCATACTCACCATAAAATCACGTATTAGATGACCTGCATCCTAACAAGAGCTCTTCACGATGACAGGATATTTTACTGCTGAGAAAACTATAACACATAAGTAATGCAGAGCTAGGATCTGAACCTAAGTCAACAAATCCAAAGCCCATGCTATCTGCACTTCACCAGAGTGTTCTGAAGGACCCCAGAGGTGTCAGGGTGTCCCTACAAGCAGGGCCTCTCACCAACCAGAGCAGCCCAGCCCCAGCCCAGTGGCCCCGTGCAGTCAAAGCCAGCAGAGCTGTCAGACAAGCCTCTTGTGCCAAAAGTGGACTTGGCAGGCCCACTGATGAGAGGGGTCAGACCAGTTTAAAACCTGGATGGGGACAGATGGAGCCTTTGGAGGTTGCATCTTGGCTGCATCACATGTTAGTTCCCAGGTGAGGTTGAAAAATCTTTTCATTGCACAGAGATTTGTTTGGAACCCTGTGTCGGAATGGGGCTCAGCCTGAAACATGGCCCAAAGAGCTGGAAGGCCACCTGCCCCTCCTTGCTTTCCTCGGCTTTCTCCCTTCCTCAGAAGCCATCTATGGCCATCCGTCCTGTGCCTGCCCCCAGCGTGCATGTGGCTTGGGCCCTTCAGAATGACTTCCTTAACTGAACCCGAAGCCACCTCCCTCTGGGCTTGGTTCTGCCCTTAGAGCAGCACAGAGCAAACCTTGTCCATGTCAGCCCTTCAGAGACGTTTTCTTTCACCTGCTCTTCTCCTAACAAGTCTCAAAGCACCTGCTCTGTTAAGCACTGGAAGACCCAGACCCTGCCCATGAAATGCTCATCACCTAGTGGGGAACGAATGAGCAAAACGGCAGCCACAGATTAGCATGTAAAGGGTGATGTCAGGGTGGGGGTGGCAGAGCAGGAGCCATGAACCCAACCTGGGCAGGGGCGAGGGGAGCTGCACAGGCTTCACGCGGGGGCTGAATCTCCAAGGGCAAAGGCAGGGAGGGAATTCCAGAGAGAGAAGCAAGAGCAAAATTATGGAGCTGGGGGAAGAACATGGCAGATCTAAGGAACCGTAGTGGCTTGCTTTGGCCCCAGCGCAGGTGACAGGGAGAAAAGGCAGGGATGTGACTGGCAGGACCAGGTCTTGAGGGACCTTGGGTGCCATGCTGTGGGGCTTGGACTTTGCCTGAAAGTCAGGCGGCACCGTGGAAGGGTTTTCACAGCATGTGGAGGCAGGGAGTGGGGTGGGAGGCTGATGGCTGCCATAGGGACAAGAGGTGATAAGGTAATGGGATTGAGAGCAGTGAACTGGCCCAATGTATGTATATATTTTTTAATTGAGCTGCGATTCCCATAACATAAAATTAACCATTTTAAAGGGAGCAATTCAGCAGCATTTAGTACATTGACAATGTTGTGCAACCACTACCTCTGTCTAGTTCCCGAACATCTTCGTCACCCCGAAAGGAAACCCTGCACCTGCTGAGCACGTGCTCCCCATCTGCCTCTCCCCCAGCCCCAGGCAACCAACCATCTGCTGTCTGTCTCCATGCATTTACCTATTCTAGACATTTCATATAAATGGAATCACACATTCTGTGGCCTTTTATGTCTGGCTTCATCTGCTTTGCCAAGAGATCTTAAGGAGCTGGAGCTGGCAGAGCATTGTGACTGGCTGGATGGATGTGGGGAGAGGGATTGGTTGAGCCTGACTCCTTTGGTAATGTGTGGGGTCAGTGCCCCTCATTAAGGGAGGGAACCCAAGAGGAGCAGCTGGGAGTGCTGGGGTGGGCAGGAGGGAAGTGGGAGATGATTGGCCTCATCTGGGAGATGCTGACTTTGGGGGCCCTGTGGACAACCACGTGGAGGTGTCCGGGTGCATGCCTCTTCCCTGAGGAGCAAAAAGGACGTACCGGGGTGGGGGCTGGTGGTGGAGGGGAGGCTGTGGAGGTAACAACTCTTCCCTCCCAATCATCTACCCAGGGCCTCTCTTCTCCATGAAGTGGGAGGCTGGGTGGAAGGAGAGGGGATGGAGAAGAGTGGAGAATTTTTTTTTTTTTTTTTCGTGTCCGGCAATGGATCGCAACCCTCAGTGTCGCGCCTGTACCGGACCAGGACCGGCAACGGGATTGTGACCCTTGGTGTCACACCCGCACCTCACTCAGCCAGTGAGCGGGAACCGGTCTGTATGTGGGATCCGAACCCTCGGCGGGAGCGCCACCATGCTCCCAAGCGGCGCACTGTAGCAGTGCGCCACCGGGCCGGCCCAAGAGTGGAGAATTTTGAAGGCAGTGGAGAGGCAGCTGTACTTGGAGACATAAAAGGATCAGCAGGAAGGGTTTGGGGTCTAGCTGAGGTTGAAGGCGCAAGACCCGTGGTTGTGAGAATCTCCCTCTGTGCTCAGCTGCTTGGGTGGGGGGTGGAGAGGCAGGTTCTTGTACTGATCCAGAGTTGGGGGAGGAGGGTTCGTGGATGCAGGTGAGAGAGATGGAATGAAGGTCAAAGGAGAATGGCTAGCTCTGGAAAACAGTCTGGCAGTTCCTCAAAAGGTTAAACAGTTACCATATGACCCAGCAATTCCACTCCTAAGCATGTTCCCAAGAGAAATGAAAACATCTGTCCACACCAAAACTTGGCCATGAATGTTTATAGCATCACTCTTCAGAATAGCTGAAAAGTTGGGGCCGGCCCGGTGGCGCACTGGATAGTGCGCCGCCTGGGAAGCACGGCGGCGCTCCCACCCGAGGGTTTGGATCCCACATACAGACCGGTTCCCCCTCATTGGCTGAGCGAGGCGCGGGAGCAACACCAAGGGTTGCGATCCCGTTGCCGGTCCCCGGTCCGGTACGGGGGCAACACTGAGGGTTGATCCATTGCCGGACACGGAAAAAAAAAAAAAAAAAAAAAAAAAAAAAAAAAAAAAAGAATAGCTGAAAAGTAGAAGTGACCCTGGTGTCCACTGACTGATGAGTGGATACATAAAATGTGGTATAGCCATACAATGGGATATTATTCAGCCTTAAAAGAGAATGAAGTTCTGATACATGTGACAGCATGGATGAATCTTGAAAATATTAAGTAAAAGAAGCCAGTCATTAAAGACTACATATTGTGTGATTCCATTTGTATGAAATGTCCAGTATAGGCAAATCCAATGGACAGAAAATAGATGAACGATTTTCTAGGGCTGGGAGGCGTTGGGAAGAAATGGGGGGTGACTGTTAATGAGTACAGCATTTTTGGGGGGGATGATAAAAATGTTCTAAAATCAACTGTGGTGAGGGCCGGCCTGTGGCTCACTCGGGAGAGTGTGGTGCTGATAACACCAAGTCAAGAGTTAAGATCCCCTTACCGGTGATCTTTTTTTTCTTTTCTTTTGTCCTTTTTGTCTTTTTTCGTGTCCGGCAACGGATCGCAACCCTCAGTGTCGCGCCAGTACCGGACTGGGACCGGCAACGGGATCGCAACCCTCAGTGTTGCGTCCGCACCTCGCTCAGCCAGTGAGCGGGAACCGGTCTGTATTTGGGATCCGAACCCTCGGCGGGAGCGCCGCCGCGCTCTCAAGCGGTGCACTGTAGCAGTGCGCCACCGGGCCGGCCCTTTAAAAAAATAAAATAAAATCGACTGTGGTGATGGTTATGCAACTCTGTGAATACACTAAAAATCATTGAATTGTACACTTTATAGGGGTAATTGTATGATACAAGAATTATATTTTGATAAAACTGTTATTAAAAAGAGAGTATTGGTTAAAGTGTGTGTTATAACACCAAGGTCAAGGGTTAGGATCCCTGTATCAGCCAGCCACCAAAAAAAAAAAAGAGAGAGAGACAAACAGTATGTCCAAAGCAATGGCTCATGGAGAAAAGAAGTAAAGCTAAGAGGGTGAGGACAGATAGAGAAAAAACAGGGACAAGACCCAAAGTCCCCATGAAGTCAAAGAACGAAGGAAGTGGAGAAAAGAAATGAGAGCTGCAAGGACTGCGTGTTGTCATCAGAGGGTTGGATTCTGGGGCCTCGCACGTGATGATGATGCCATGGCCCCAGGCCTCTGGTCTGCATCCAGGCTGATCATCTCCTGTTTTCCAAATCTTCCTCATTCGCTATGATTTCTGTGCTTGGTGCTTCCGGTCCTTCCTGCCCCACAGTCCCTGGTGGCTCACATTTTCCATCAGTAACCCCCTGGCTTCATGGGGATTGTCCTCTTCTCCTCCCTCATGCCACTGAGGCAAGGTCACCCTTCCAGGCAAAGATCTGGCACCTGGCCGTAGCTGCTCCTCCAACAGTCCCTCTAAGGAAAATCTGTTCTCTGGCCAGTAGCTCCACCATTCCCGCAAAGGACGCTCCTACCCCCAGGACAGATTCTCACAGTTCCCTTTCCATTTTGACTCAAGAGCTCCAACAGTGTGGCCCCAGAGACACTGGACACAGGGTTGCAGCTCCCAGGCTGACCGGGGTGGGGAGGTGGGGATGTCTGGAGCCACTGCCATTGCTGCGCATGGGGACCTGTCGGCCCTGACCTGCCTCTCTCTGCTGCCCCATGCAGAGTACTCGGTGGTGGTGCCTGAGTCCGTGTTCCCCGGCCTCTTCATGCTTGGCATGTTCCTCTGGAGCCTCGTCGAGTACCTCATCCACCGCTTCCTGTTTCACATGAAGCCCCCCAGCGACAGCTATTACCTCATCACACTGCACTTCGTGATGCACGGCCAGCACCACAAGGTGAGCGGGCGGGGTCCCACCCCAAGGACCACCCCAGGCAACCTTGCAGCTACAACCAGCTCCTGGGAGCTGTGGGTCTTCCTGGGAGTCTGGTCATGGGTTGTTTGATATTGCTCAGAGGGGTGGCTGGGTTGGGCATCCTAATCTGAGCCAGGTGGGGACAGAGAGAGCACGTGTGCACGCGTGTGTGTGTGAGCACGTGTGTGCGTGCACACCATTGTTATTAATACCGGGCACTCTGCATCATCTTCCTTAATCCTCATAACAACTCCTTCATTCATTCAGCAAATGTTCATTGAGTGCCTACTACGTGCTGGGCACTGTTCTAGACATCACTGAACAAAACAGACAAAAACCCATGCCCGTGTGGACCTTCTTTCTGAAGATGTTGCTACAGTTCTCCCCATTTCATGGAGCAGGGAACTGAGGCTTGGGGAAATTAAGGAACTAAGGAACTCACCCCAGGTCACACCTGGCACAGCCAGGATGTTCTGTGGACTCCAGAGTCTGTGCTCACACCCACCCACCTATCACCCTGGAGCTCTTCAAGGACTACATGACAGTCCCAGAACCTGGGACTGGAAGACAGGACTGCCCAAAGGAAGCTACACTCCTCCTGCCCAGCAGCTTCTCTGTCCCCACACTGTGCTGTCCTTGGCCTGTCCTAGAGTGTCCCTTATTCAGCTCCCATGCTCTTGACTTTCCTTACATTCCCATCTCCTCAAAATTGAGTACTTTCCACCGAAATTCTGTTCTCTGCCAGGCATAAATCAGAGAAAATGTGGCAGATCTGACACTTTCAGGACACAAGTTCAGATGTGGAAAACAAAACCAAAAGAGACCCTCATGTTGCTGATACTCAGATTTCACCCTCATTTCCCAGCAGCTACTCAATAGTTCGTCTGAAGGAGCTCAGCCAAGTTCAGGACTTTATCAGCTGACTCAGAGACTCCTCAGATTGGTCAGACTTGTTGCCCTTCCAGCTCTCCACAGAGTTGATCTGTGTTCTCAGGGGCATTCATAGCAGCCAGTGTCAGGGTGGGTGTCCAGTCCTGGGCCAACTTGTTGCTCGGGTATGCTCTGAGAGGTACTACAGCCCAGGCTCTCAGGTCGACATTCAGCGCCCATCTGGCCTTTTTTCTCCAGGGCAAGCTGAGTCACTGCCGTGTACCTCATCCCACTTGTGATACCTTTTCAGATCCACTGCCCCCCATTAGCTAACTTTCCCATCCTCAGGAGACAGAAGAACTTTCTCGAGGCCACTCTGCATCCCAGGGGCTGTCTCAGACCCCCTCTTCCAAGACACTTCCACACCAATATACCCAGTCCCCTACTGCCACACCGTGAAGACACAAGGAGCTTGTGTGGTACACCTGGGCTCCAATCAGGCACCGACTCTCAGATCTGCAAATCTGTCTATCTGAGGGTCTTGATCCAGTCTTGACCTGCCGCCGGCTCATACCAGCACACAAGAGAAATAGTGCAAACCCCTTCCTGGCTTCACTCAGTGATGTCACATTGGTAGCTTGAAATCAGCCATGGTGGGAGTATTTACACCACAGGAATTAGCAAAACCCTGATCAAGGCTCACTCTTCCTCCTTTCCACCCTCCCTCCTTTTTCTGAGAGCTGGTTCTCCAGCTCACCACTGGTCTTGTTGGAGGGCGGCCCACACCATCACATGACTCTATCCACGTGGCCTCTTTTCTCTCTCTCAGAATACGCACCAAGCAGTCTCTGAAATCTTCCCTCTTTGCCAAGCCGTTGGCCCTTGAAGCTCAACAGCCAAAGGTTTGGCTCTTTTGTTCTCTGGGTCACTGTGACACCATGCCCTCTGAACAAGGAAGGCCTCCTGTTTAGATGTGTGGGTGGGGAGAACATCTCTACTAACACTTCCAGGATCATCCCCCTGCGAAACTGTATTAACTTCAGCTTGCCGATGGGTCATCCTCCCAAACAGCATCAGGCCTCCGTCTAGGTACCCTGTGTCCAGAAAGCCCCTCCAGCCAAGGGCATGGTATTTGGCGGTGGGGCTCTTGTCTAGCACCTAACAAATTCCAGAGCCAAGTCAGCACACCCGGGCATCCTTCCCCACATCACACCCAGCCTCATGTTCTTGGGCAGTTTGCCACATCCCATCCTGGCTTGGAAACTGGGAGTAGGACAATCTCTCTAGGTCTTTCAGTATGGTGCCCTGCCCTCCCCAAAGCCACCAAAGGTGCCAAGCTTACCTATGACAGATTGCTGCCCTCTCACAGAATGTCTGGGCTGCTCTGCTCCATCCTTCGCAGGGAGTGTCTCTGGCTTGGCACGCTGTGGTCACAGACAGGCTACACGGCTCTGGGCTATGTCCTGACACACAAGCCTCTCCATCCGCAGGCACCCTTCGATGGCTCCCGCCTGGTCTTCCCTCCCGTGCCAGCTTCTCTGGTGATCGCCTTCTTCTACGTGCTCTTACGGCTCATCCTGCCCGAGGCGGTGGGGGGCACTGTGTTTGCTGGGGGCCTCCTGGGCTACGTCCTCTACGACATGACCCATTACTACCTGCACTTTGGCTCGCCACACAAGGGCTCCTACCTGTACAACATGAAGGCCCACCACGTCAAGCATCACTTTGCACATCAGAAGTCAGGTGAGGATGGGCTGGCACCCCCCAGTCTCCCCTGTGTGTTCACTGATCTATTTGACAGCTACCATTGAGACTCCACAGACCACCAGGCACTTAGCGGGCTCCCTCCATCCTGCTTGCTGGTGCAGGTGGCCGTGCAGAGACAGACAGACAAGGAAATCAATAAATGGCAAAGATAATGTCAGACAGTGAAAAATGCCATAAAGAAAATAAAACAAGGTGATATTCAAGGAACCACATAGGTGGGGGGAGGGGTCCAGCACCATCCAATAAAATATGTGGACCACATATATGATTTGAAGTTTTCTAGTGGCCACACTAAACAAAAACAGGTGAAAAGATTTTTAATGTATTTATTTAACCCAATATAACCAAAATATTTTTATTTTAACATCTAATCAATATAAAACAATGTTAATGAGGTATCTTACATTCTTTCTCTTATACTAAGTCTTTGAAATCTGTGATATATTCTGCACTTACAGCACATCTCAATTCAGATGCTATATTTTCACTGGAAATACTGGATCTGTATCTAGACTTTATAAAATGTGCAGCCAAAAAAGTAGATTCACATACATAAGTTGCTCCAAGCATGCTTAAAAGTTTTCCAGTAACTGAATCAAGTATCCATTTTTACATGGAAATTTAATTAGAATTAAATGAAATTAGAAATTTATATCCTCCATGGCTCTAGCCACATTTCCAGTGCTCAGTAGCCACACGTGGCTAGTGGCTACCACATTGGGCAGCAAAGCTCTAGATAAAATGGTCCAGGAAGGTGTCACTGCAGAGATGCCATTAGAGCTGAGACCCAAATGAAGAGAAGCCCACATCCAATGTCTGAGGAAAGAGTGTCCTGGGAACAACTGGTACAAAGCTGAGGCAGAAATGAACTTGGCCTCCTCAAGGACGTGCCAGAAGCTGGAGGTGAGAGGGAGGGAGAGACAGGCAGGGAATCAGGCCAGGAACTGAGGCCAGATGGGAATTTGGATTTATTCCAACTATATCCTGGGGACACTAGAAACACAGGTGTCCCGCCTTTGACTCCTGTCAGGCTGGCCCCGGGAGCTGGGAGCCCAGTGGAACTGATGTTGAAATCTTCCCTGCATGCCAGCCCTACCCCGGTTCCCTTCCCAAGCACATTTCTCCCTGCTCTTTCCATAGATTCTCATCTTTTCCCCATTGTCTCCCTCTCTAGGATTTGGCATCAGCACTAAATTGTGGGATCACTTTTTTCACACCCTCATCCTGGATGAAGCCCACCCGAAGACCCAGTGACAACTCCCAGACCCTCTGTCCTGCCCTCAGCTGGGCCCTGGCCCCTGCCCGACCCCCACCCCCACCCCTCTTCCGGGCCCTGCTAAGAAGGTTGGCTTGGCCAGGCAGCCCTGGGGCTTGGTGGAGGGTGCCGAGAAGACCCTTTGGCAGGACTGCCCTCCTGACCCACCATAGGGAGGGTCACGTCCACTTGGTGGCCAGATGGCCCACAGGGACCAGCTCCTTCCTGGAGCATCCCAGCCTAGAGCCTGAGCCCGCAGTAGCTTCAGGACCTGGCCAACAGTAGCAGCCCCACAGGGAGTGAAGGAAACTGACCCCTGGGGCCATGCCTGTTTCCCCACTAGGCCTTAGCACCTCGGGCTCCCTAGGATCTTCCCCACATGGTGGAGCTACCAATATTCACATCAAGGAGCATGGTCTGTGGGGCCCGTGGTCTCTCCCCCGTCTTCTGTCTCCCCCTCCTGCCCTTCCTGGGGAGGGTTTGGTGGCTTTGAGGTGGATGAAAGGCTCTCACAAGAAAAGACAGCATGATGCCTCCCACAGGCCACCCCCAGACCCCGGGGCAGCCCCTCTGTCCCCTGCCAACACAGATGCCAGCTGTACTGCCCACTGCCTCAGGCTGCGATATACCCAGTGCTCACACAGCAGCCTTCACCTGCCTGTGCAGTTGGGCCAAGGGTGGCTAGCATCATCTCGAGGCTGGCAGGAACCCCAGCCCCTTTCTTTATGAACTGCCAGCTGCTCTAGCCATTCCCCCTGCCTCCAGAATCACAAAGCTGCTCCCCAAAGGAGGCTAAAAAGGCCTTTCCATGGGCGGGAGCCCCAGCCCATCTCCAGCCATTCTTGGCCTCCACCTGGCACAGGTGGGCACCCCCCCACCAAGACCCTCCCAGCAAGTGCCTCCTGAAGCCGAGGAGCCTTCACGCAGTGCCTTATCTCCCCCTCTGCTTTCCTGCCTCCCTCCCCGCACCCCAGACCCCGCAGATGAGGTTCCCATCCCTTCCCCCTCGTAACCAAAACCCTCACTGCTCTGAAGAGGGTCTTATTTATAAACGATAGAAACGTTCTGTCTGACCCCAGACCAAGTAGCCAGTCGGACAACGCTTTCTAATGCTACGTGTTGAGCTTATGTAAAAAATCGTTCCATTCTTACCCACACCATTACTACTTGAAACTTTTTAAAAACTCACTGAACGTAAAGACTAAGAGAAGCAAGTTGACTGATCTTGTGATTTGTACTGTTTACTGCGGAGCTATTTAAAGATTTTGGAATATACAAAATAAATATACAGTTGTGAAATAAAGATAAATAAATTGTATATTTTGAAAAATAAAACATTGAAAAGAAACCAACAAAGATTAGTTGCTCAGACAACTCAGGGTACCCATCAGACTCCATCGTGGTTAATAAGGGGCAGGGGTGTGGGGAGGGGTCGGTCTAACAGGGAGGAGGAGTATTTCATCACTGACCAGGTGATGTAGAATTGCTGGGGCATGATGATAATAAAAAGCTGACCGACTCTTACTCTCTCGCTCGGTTTTATTACAGTTTTAAAATCCTCTGCAGAGAGCATCTCCCCTTACTGCCTGCACCTGGGGAGGGGGGGTTGCTCCCATCAATCAGCTTAATACACCACTGGGGGTGGTCTCTTCTGGAATTAGTCAACCCCAGTTAAGCTTCCAGTTGACTTTCCTAAAACAAAGGGGCAGAAGCTCTAGCAACAAATTAGAACTTCAGGCCGGCTCAGTCTCGGTGAGACAGTTTCTCAGGATGTCTTTTTCAGGTGGGTTATCAGAACTAGCTGGGAACCTGTCAAAGTGCAGATCCAAGGCCTCACACTCGGAGTCTAATTCAATAGGTCCAAGAGGGTTGGCCCTGGATTCACCTGCCTGAGGACACAGAAGTGGAAGCGAGCTAATGATGGTGAGCTCCAGGAGTCCCCGCCCCCGCTGCCTCTCCCTGCCCCAGCACCCGTGGGGGCGGCTTTATCCCTGCAGCTTCCAGCTGAAGATAAGTGGTACCTGAGCCACCCGTCACTCAAGTTCCTGGAATCTACCACTGGAATCTGGCCCATCCACACAGCAGAAATCACAACTTCCTATATACTCTACAGCACTGAAAATCTGTCCCTAGAGCATCACACCCAAGGGGAAGGGAAGGACACAGAGGAGAAGCTAAAGAAGAGCTCAACGAAGTGTAAACATGCAAGTCCACGGAGAAAAGTCTAAGATGAGCAAGTTTTAGCAAAAAAATTGTTTTTAACTTCTTTAAGAAGAGTTAAACAAAATTGATAAGGAAATCCAGAATATAAGTGAGTTTGTAGCATGGTAATGAGACCATTTAGGAAAAAATTATTACAAAAGTGAAAACACAAAACCAAGCCAACCTGTTAATGACAAGACCCAGAAGTGAGACATATGGCCTGCATGTCCAGAGGACCTCGAAAACTCTGCATAGCCCTCGCAACCGCATCCCCGCACATGCCCCGTGGGATGCACAGCAAGACACCTGCCTTTGCCAAGCGCCACTTCTGAGGCCTTGGGGGCACATCCATGGCAGTGGTAGAGAGGCCAGGCTGCATAGCCTTACTGAGTCTGATGCCTTCTCCTCTGCTGTCTTCTTCCAGGGTTACCTGTTGCCCTGCGAGCCCTCATGTTCTCCAGCACTTCCACCAAGAGCTGGGCCACCTGCAGTACTGGGTGACTTCAAGGGGAAGCTGGACTCCACTACCTGCTCCGGAAATAGAGGGCGGAATAGACAGTCCCCAGTGTCACTCTCTCCCACCAAATCAACCAATTTACACCTATTAAAAAGCAACAACATGGGCCGGCCCGGTGGCGCACTGGATAGTGCGCCGCTTGGGAAGCGCGGCGGCGCTCCCGCCCGAGGGTTCGGATCACACGCACCCAAAAAAAGCTAGTAGGGAAACTTGCCAGAATTTGAACCCAGATCTGCCAAAACTCCAAAGTCAGACCATAATTGTGTCTCCCAGTGTGTAAATATCTATCAAATACTTTGTGCACATGTGTGAACATGCCAAACTTTGAATGATTTAAGTATAACCTGTATTTTAATACTTAGGACAGCATCATAAAATTAATTTCTAAATGAATATTGAAATTTATCCAGTTTCTATGTTTAGCAATTGGTGTTAATTTACCTCTCATAAGTGCTAGAAAGGTTCTACAATACCTCCTCCAGCCCTTTTATAAGAGCTCAGGGGAAGAGGAGAGACCTACGGAGTTCATGAGGGCAGGAGAAGCCACGATGAGAGAAAGAAAGGATCGCTCCCACCATTTTGAGCCCCAGCCGCTTCAAGGCTGACGTTGGTGAGCACATGGAGCAAGAGCTGGCAAAAGCCACAGCTGTGGCCTTCGAATGAAGTTGGTTGGAGGCTGCAGGGGAGAAGAGGGCCTTGGTGGCCCTCCAGCCAGCAAGACCACTGACAGGGTTCCCATGGACCCACATAGGAGGGAGGGGCCACAGACAACTGAAAAAAGGAGTCACTCAGAGTCTGGTGAGTCATCACAAGGGACCAGGGCACGGCCCGTCCCATGGGAAGTGTTTGGAGTATGGGTAGTAGGGAAGATGGGCCCACCGGGAGAACACTGGGGCACAGCATGGACACATGATCTGCCCCCCAATCAGCACAGGACCACTCAGTCGAGACTGGTCAGAATACAGATCAGCAGGGGGTGCAGTTTGCTGAAAAGAATCAGGCCCAGACCAGAATTTCCACACAGCCCAGGTGTACCTGATCTCACAAGACCCAGAAGTACCTACAAAGTCAACCATTAAAACCTGAGCTGCACAAAAAGCCTTCCCCAGGGAATCAGCAGCAAAGCAGCAATTTAGCTCAAGTGCTGGTCCCCACAGGAAGTTCCCCCATTTTAGAAGTAAGCAAAGGACAACAAATTAGTTCCCGTGTAGAGTTTAAGTGGTGGGAGTAGGTGATAATCCAACACAGAACTGAAAGAAAAACAAAATACCCACAGATCAGAGACAAAGTTTTATATTAACTAGTAAAAGTTTCACATCACCAAAGAACACCTATAAAACCTAGAAGGACTGGAAGCTCCCTGGTCTCCTGAGCCGGGGCGGTGGGGGACTGAGGGCTTCAGCCACACCCACCGACATCTGCATCCAGCCTGGCAAAAACTGAGCCACTGCTGGAAGCCTCCTGATCTCCCCTGCAGGAATGAGGGGGGTGCCATGGGCCTCAAACACGCCCCCCTCCTTCCTTCCTTCTCCCATCCTATTTCCAACCCCCTTCTCCTCTACCCCTCCCCACAACTGCTCTGCAACATCTTAGAATGTAAAAATATATATATATTAACAAATAAATAAACTTAATAAATAAATAAAATGACAAGACCCATCAATGAGCAGTCTGACAGATTCCCCCAGTTCTCCTGCTATAACTTTCCAGTGGGGTCAGGAATGTTCACAAGGCCTCAGAGATAGAGCAAGCCCCACTTTCCATGCAGAGGCAATAATAGTCTAAAGCCTGCATTTTCACAGAAGAGAAAAATATAGGCAGGGCCACAAGACCCTGAACCTCAAGCTGGTTGGCACTCAAGGTGCATCCCCCACATCCATGACCATCTGGAAGAGTTGGAGATTTTATCATCAAGTGTGTCAAAGACTAGATGCTAAAGCATGCACAGGACATTATCAAAATGCCAACATATCTACCATGATGGGAAAAGCCTGGAACTTATGACGTGATTATATTTATTCCTGCAGTGAGAGAAGACACAAAAATCATCAAGAAAGTTGAATGTTTGCTCAGAGGAAGGGCCATTTAAATTCTGATCAGTGTAAAGTAGATATGCAGGTTGACTGACCCTCGATGATCCTAGCAATTTGTCTCACCTTATTCTCCCATAATGGCTCAGCTGCTCCAGCCAAGGACAGGCCCATAGCCATTGTATTTATTTCTGGTATTGTGCTTCCAAACATGTTGTCTTTAGGTGTTTCCAGGCTGCCCTCTTAATTCTGTTCTACTCCACTTCTCTGTTAGTTCTGGTCTCTGATCTCTGCCTTTGAACTTTGTGCGATTTTTTTATTGTGCCCAGTACAATGGCCAACTTACAACAGGGCCCAGTAAATGCTAAACTTGTCTCCAGATCTCTCACCAGAGGTGCCGTTCCACCTGTTCCATGGCCTCTGCTGCCCTCTGGTGGCATCATGTAGCCCTGCCCTCATAGAGACTGTTTTGGAAGCAGTTATCCGTGTTTAAAATTCCAGCACTTTTCCACCTTTTCCATTCTCTTGACTTACTTTCTTGTCTCCTACTGTTTTCAAGAGAAAGCTGGAACTATGTATATAAACTTTCCAGCCCTAATTTTCTAAAAGCTATAACGGTTGCAAAATTTCAGCTGGAATTTTCCTTAGAGTTAGATGCTTTGCCCAGTGACTACATTTTATCTATAAAGCATGCTGCAGGATGAATGTGAAATTCGGAAAATGCCAGTACTCTCATCTTCACTCCACCACAGACACCTATAGCAGAGAAAAATAAGAAATTGGAAAGAAAAAAATCTTATTCTGGCTAAAGCATAAAGATGGGACCCTATCTTCATTTAGTTTCCCTGAAAAGTAAAACTTAAAACAAGGACATGGATGCAGATAGTCTATTTGGGAAGTTATTGCACAAATAAAGAGTGAGGATTGGGGAAGTTTAGAAAGAGAAAGGTGGAGGGAGGTGCTTTGTAAGGATGTGAGTATGTGAGGTTTTTATACAGATTACCAAAGGCATTTAGGAAGCATAGAGAATACCTGCCAGAATTGCCTACCTAAAGGACAAGAGGCTAGAACATTTATTCACCAGCTTCCACCCTTTTGGGTTGAGGACTGCCTTCAAGGGCATTGACTCCCCCTCACTTATGGGCTTCCCTGGCATGCAAGCCCAGCAGATTCCTTGGCTTTGACAAATGTCCTCAGGCAAAAGCAGGAAGATGGTGGTGTGCACTTGAAGTGGGATGCTGTCTGTACAAGTTGAGTGCAAGCTTGCTGGGAACTATTCACCAGACCTGTGGCTGAAACCAAAGCTGAGACAGAGTTCACACAGAACCTTCTACCACACTTAGGTTAAGACCAGAGGAGGGCAGAGGGGATATGACTAGGAACACCTGACGTATCTGCTACAGACTCCAATTGGTTATATCCTCAAGGTAAGAGTGAACCAGGAAGAAGTGTAAGGATACCGTGGGCACTCAAATGTAAGGATACCATGGGCACTCAAGCAGAGGGGGAGGGGGAAAGCATTCCCTAGCAATATGGTGCCCTTCCGGGTTCTTCTCCGCCGTAGAAGCC